AAAAAAAAAAAAAAGCAGGCCTGTAAACAGCACCAGAGGAATTCCAGCTGCAGAATCCTGCCCTCACCCGGTCCTCAGCCTTTCCCACACCCAACCCTAGGGAACAGAGCACCGGTGGACCCATCGAGAGCGGGTTCAGAGGGAAGGGAAAAAGAGACCCGGGGGTGGAGAGGGACGGTGGAAAATCAGAAGTTAAATGTCATCCTCAGCTGCATAGCAAGTACAGGCATCCTGGATGCAGGAGACCCTGTCTCAAGACAAAAGTTGGGAGAGTGCCGCTCAGGCTCGGGACACCATCGCCCCCTACAGTTGCTGGAGTAAATGATTACTAGACTGAGCCAAGGGTAGAAAACAGACTCGGCTCCACCCATCCATGTGCAGGCCCCTCAGAACGCTCACACAGAGGAACACACTCCCAGCCCTTCTGGGTGTGTGACCACAGAAGCAATAAAAGTGACCTTCGTCTCTCAACCTCTGCCATGCAAAACCAGAACTCACCACCAGGTGACGCTCCAGGACCAGTTAAAAACCCTCCAGTGCAGGCGCTTGCTTTTTACACAGGTGAAGGGTGGAACAAAGCGTCCAGGTCCAGAGATGGGAGGAGTGAAGTTTATACCAGTTACAACCACCACAAAAGCTAATATTTCTATTTCAGTTGCAATGTTCCACGCTCTGTTAAAACCTCCTGCTTCAGACAAGGTATTGTAGCCCAGGTTGGGCTGAAACTTCCCATGTAGCAAAGAATGGCTTTGAACTTCTGATCCTGCTACCTCTGCCTCCAGAGTGCTGGTATTTCAGGCATGCACCACCAAGCCTGGGGTGTCAGCTGAACCGAAGTCTTCCTGCAAAATAACAACAGACCAGCTATATACCCAGTCCTAGATGCTCTTATTGTGAGCATTTTTTTCCAGATGAGGAAACTGGTGGATGGCTTGCCAAGAGTCACACAGCCATGAAATGGGAACCCAGTTATCTGACTCATCTAATAGGTGACCCCTTCTTGTTGCCCCCAAACGAGATATGGAAATGTAGTTATGGGGACCAGAAAACAGTCAAATGAGGGGTCAGGAGAGTGGGGATGCATCTACCCTGGACTTGAAGTGGTCTTGGCACATCCGCCCCCTATGGCAGTCATGATCAAGGATGATGTGTGCAGGGGAAAAAAAAGCTGATGGTTAACATTTGCTGGACAGGGGCAGCAAAGGACAGGAGAGTGCCAGGTGCCTCTCCAGCATCTCCATCTTTCTTGAGGACAGGCCTCAGAAAGAGAATGGGGTGGGATAGCTAAGGGCTGTGATTTCAGATACGTACAGGCCTCAGAAAGAGGGTGAGGTGGGGCCAGAAGACAGGAGTGAGGCCAGGAAGCTCCTCCAAAGTCCCACACCACCACCACTCCTGACTCCTATTTCCCAGTCTCTTGTCAACCCCTTCCTTCCTCAGCCTGGATCTGGGAGCCAAGAATGTTCCCATATTCAATAGGACAAGTAGGCTTTCTCTCCCCCTCCGCGTATGAGTTCTTTTCATGTGTTTCTGTGACAGTGAGTGGCAGTTGAACTGGTTCAGGTGAAAACTGGCTTGAAGAGCTTGGAGTTCGTTATCTAAGGTGGGGCCCCTGCCTCAATCCCCTAGTGAAGCCCCAGGTATGCAGTTTCATGGTAGAAGGCTTGCCTGGCGTGAACAAGGCCCTGGGTTCCACTTCGGAGTTAAGAGCTTAATTTTGTTTTGTTTCGTTTTGTGAGACATGGTTTCCACTGTGTAGCCATGGCTGTCCTGGAAATGCCCTCTCTGTAGATCAGGCTAGCCTTGAACTCACAGAGATCCCCCACCTCTGCCTCCCAAGTGTTAGGATTAAAGGCCTGCACCACCACCACCCAGCAAGAGCAGGGAGGTCAGATCGTGGGGCAGTTGGCTGTGTAATAAATCTCAGAATAATGCTCAGAAATGGGCAGTATGAACACGCTCTTCTTGCGGACCATCCTGCCACTCTCTATTTATTCAATCGATCATTCCGACAGTGTCTTATGTACCAGGACGGTCTCAAACTCACTAGATATAGTCTTCTTTGATGTCCTAAACCTGCCTCTTCATATTAGGAGCTGATATTTCAGGCGTTTGTCTTCATCCCAGACTATGATGTCAGAGGTGTCATCCAGCATGCTCTCTCACACAAGCCCACATGAAAGCCAAGGGTTTCAATCAGTCTAGGTGGACTCAAGTGGCCTCCGAGTCCCCCACGTCCTAGTTGATGCAGGCTGTCTTTCTGTATGCTGTGAATATGTGTTGCTTTTATTGGTTCATGAATATAGCTGCTTTGGCCTATGGCAGGGCAGAATATAGTGGGAAATCTAAGCGGGCATACAGGTGAAGAAGGGTCAAGGAGATGCCAGCAGCTGCCAGAGCATCAAGATGTACTAGAGAACAGGTAATGTCATGAAGCCACATATCAATACACAATTATTAGAAATGAATTAATTTAAATGTAAGAGCTAGCTAGTAATAAGCCTGAGCCATCAACCAAACAATTATAATTAATATTAAGCCTCTGAATTATTATTTTATAAGTGGCCATGGGGACCAGCAGGCAGGAGAGAAACAGGTCCAGAGGGACCAGGTGAGACAGAAAAGCATCTGGCTGTGCCTATGAGCTCATCACTGTAACCCACTCATCAGACGGATCGTCTACAGCAGAGCAAGGAGAAAATAACACACTGCGTAGCGTGTGTCCTCCATAGATGTGCGTGTGTGAGTGTGCGTGTGTGTCCGTGCACACATGTGATGTGTCAGGTGCCTTGGGAAGCCAGGATGATCCCCTGGAGCTGGAGTTACAGGTGTCTGTAAGCCTCTGGATGTGGATGCTGGTAACTGAACTTATGTCCTCTGCATCACTGGACCATCTCTCTAGTCCTCACCTCAGCCTCCCGGGTGCCAGGGTCACAGGTTTGCAGTCGGGGATCAAGTTTTGTTTGCTGCCTTATCCACACAGTTGTCTGTGTGTTTATCTATGCAGGGTCTCACCTGTTACCCAGGCTGGCCTCGAACTCTCAGAACCAAGTGATCCTCCTGCCTCAGTCCCTGGAGTAGCTGACACTACAGGTCAGTACCACCATGCTGGCTAAAATGTGATTTTTAAAAACAAATAAAAGAAAGCAAGGGACTGGTTGCACAGGTTCTGGGTCACATTCATGCCTGTGTCTTCTTCAGCTCCGTTGGGAAGAGGGGGGCTAGGATGAGGGCAGGAGTTCTCACCCTCATTCCTCACATGATGAAGCTTGTGGTCTGAATTCCGTGTTATCCTACCCCAGGGTTCACAGCATGCTCATCCCAGCTGCAAAGAAGATTTAAATGGTACCTGCAAGACCAAGTCCCTAAATTCACACTTTGGTAGTGCGGCCTCAAACTCATTTATCAGGAATCATTCCGACTTGGTCATGACTCCTGGTCACAAGTGGTCACAGGGCACTGCCTGTGAATACTCTCCCTCCACTCGGACTCAGAGATGGTCTCTGCCCCTTGATGTGTCCAGGAGTGTGGCCATGTTCTAGAACTGTCTAGGATGGCTGCAGAAGTGGGCCTTTTCTTTAAGCCCAAACCAGCCAGAGCCTCCTGCCGGAGCTAGCCACAGTTCTCATTATGACCACCAGGTGGCGCTTCAGTCCCGCTGGTCCAAACTACGCAGGCGACTAGGTGTCTTGCATAAGCTGGATGACCTGGGCATGCTTAACATCTAACAGTTCAGAAGCTGTGCCTCTGGCTGAATTTGGGAAGCGACCGAGCAGAAATCCCTTAGGGTTAAGTTGGTAGTGTTTGCTTAGCATGCTTGAAGCCCTGAGTTTGATCCCCAACTCTGGGAGTTGAAGACAGGACGAACGAAAATTCAAGGTCATCCTCCACAACACAGGGTACTTCAGGCAAGCCAAAGCTACATGAGATCCTGTCTTTAAAACAACCAAATCCTTGGGTTGACGATTTGAAGATACAACACCACTTATCCTGTTGGTCTAGAGCAATGCGAGGGTTCCTCTGGATTATCTCTGGATGCTCCTGCTTGATAAGGGAGGGAAGAGAACATTACGTCCACTCAAGGGAGGGACAGGCTAAAGGTCAAGCTGACCCAGGGCTATTCAGAAAGACGGTGAAAATATCTCCCAGGAAGAGGGTTCTCCATAGTGTCAATCCATCCTGCGACAGTCTTCTCGGTGTTGGTGGTTTTCCATGTGTCAACAAGGGTGTCTAGCAGCATGGGTGTCAATGCTAACATCTGTAAGTATGGTGGAGCACTGTGTCAGGGGACAGAGGGTTTCCGGGCATGTGTGGAGACCTGGTGAGTCTGAGATCCACAGTGTGAATGAACATTGTGTGTGTGTGTCCATGCGTTTGTGGACATTTTGGGAGGGCTACCAACGTGTTTGTATGGGGTATGTGCTTGTGTCAGTGTGAATTAGGTGTGTGTGTGTGTGTGTGTGTGCACGCGCGCATGTGTGCATGCACACCCATGCCGGTAAAGTAAAATGCAGCGTCACCAAGGGCAAAGGGTGTCTGTGGAATCTGTAGTCCTGTGTCTGATCCATCCTCCCTCTGCTGTAACAACACACACCCTTTTCCCTATCTGGAACTCCAATATTGTCCCTAAAGCCCACTGAGCTCCAGGCCCTGTGAGGGAGGCTGAGCGCAGTCCCTAGGTGATACCGTCCTTTGATGCTTTTTTTTTTTACCTTCAAGTGGCTGTGGACAACAGCAAGGACCACCCCTGATCTCTCCCCCTAACCTGGTCATTCCAGTCACCTCCAGCCCCCACCAAGCCCACTCCTCCAGGTGGGGGGTCCATATTTTACCTTTTTGTCAACTCATCAGTGGGAGTTTCTTCTGGACTGGCTGTGAGCTGTAAGGGAACAAGCTTTGCCCGTGACCAATACCAAAAGGGGCTACAGCAAGGCCACGCTGAGAACTGTGCAATGTATTCTGTAACTCTTCCCGTTCAGAGCACAGCAGGGAAGGAAAAGAAAGGCGAGTGTACAAAGACTCGTTATGGAGCCCCTGCCTAGAGGCCCCCAGTGAGGGGCTGGGGGCGTGATTCAGTGGCAGAGCATCTGCCTAATATCTGAGCCGCACCTATCACTGGGGAATTCTAGGCAGGCTGGCTCTATCATGACCCCTTGTAAACCCACCTTTCTTTTCCTTCCCTTTTGTATTGTGTTGTCTCCACAGATATCTCTCCACAGGGGGGAAAAAAGAAGAAAGAAAGGGCTCCTAGGACATAACTCTTCAATCACAAGAGCACTGGATGCCGGATGGCGGTGGCACACTTCTTTGATCCTAGTGTTCAGAAGGCAGAGGCAGGCGAATCTCAGTGAGTTTGAGGCCAGCCTGGTCTACAAAGTGAGCTCCAAGACAGCCTGGATGGTTACACAGAGAAACCCTGTCTCAAAAAAAAAAAAAAAAAGCAGGGCTGGAGAGATGGCTCAGTGGTTAAGAGCATTGCCTGCTCTACCAAAGGCCCTGAGTTCAATTCCCAGAAATCACATGGTGGCTCACAACCATCTGTAATGAGGTCTGGTGCCCTCTTCTGGCTTTCAGGCATACACACAGAAAGAATATTGTATACATAATAAATACATATTTTTTTAAAAAAAGGCAAAAAAATGAAACAATACAAAAACCACCACAAGAAGGTTGGGCTGCTCTTTCCCACTAACTCCCTTTTCTCTGGCTGACTTTTCTGCCAACCATCACGGAGAGATACCCTCACCTTCCTTCCACCCCTGCAGACCCTGTGTCTGGGTCATAAGAGGCAGTTTGCACAGCTTCCCCCTTTGAGCATGCTTCTATTCTAACACTTCAACCATCCCCAGATGATTGTAAGCTCAGTCAAAACAGACTGAAGAGGGTTGTGAGGTGGGGACAGGCAAAGACGATGGCTGCCAAGCCTGAGGAATCCACACGGTAGCTGATCCCAACAAGTTGTCTTCTGACTCCCATGGGCATATCATAGAAACAGAGTGACCACAACCACAGCAAGAGGAAGCCGGGAAGGGCAGCACACACTTGCAATCCTGGCACTCAGGAGACAGAAGCAGAAGGACCATATAGTTGAGGTGAGGTGACCCTGTCTCAGAAACTAGACAACAAAAAGATCTTTTCACATTCAAAGGCCAATGATTTGAGTGCTTTCCTGGTGGCCTTTTTGTTTATTTTGTTTTTCAAGACAGGGTTTCTCTGTGTAGCCCCAGCTGTCCTGGAACTCACTCTGTACACCAGGCTGGCCTCGACTCAGAGATCCGCCTGCCTCTGCCTCCCGAGTGCTGGGATTAGAAGCATGAGAACACCACCACCTGGCTTTGAATTAATTTTCAATTATCATTTTGTGTCTAGGCATTTGGGCTGCACGTATGTGTATTACGTATTTGCCTGGTGACTGTATGTGGCATGTATGTATATCATATATGTGCCCGGTGACTGAAGAACAACAGAAGACATCAGATCCCCTGGAACTGGAGTTACACATGGCTGTGAATCACCATGTGGGTCCTGGGAGTCAAACCCAGGTTCTTTGCAAGAGCAGCCAGGGCTCTTACCCACTGAGCCACCTCTCCTGCACCCTACCCCTTGTGGCTTTTCGGTGCCTTGTCACCAAGATCAGTGCGGTATGTGAAGCCCACAGGCCCTTTAACCTCCAGCCCTCCAGCACTTAGCAGTCTAAACATGGCTGGAAAAGTGCCAGCTTAAACACAGGGTCACCGTCGTTAAGAAGCCAAATCGCCCCAACACCATCCACGACAACTCGGAAACAAGAAACACCCTTGTTGAGAACCCGCGTTCCTCACCCTGTGGGTCACGACCCCTTTAGGAGTCCAACAACCCTTTCAGGGGTCACGCATCAGATAGCCTCCAGACCAGATACTTACATTACAATTCGTAACAGTAGCAACATTACAGTTAAGAAGTAGTAACGGAAATAATTTTATGGGTGGGGGTTCACCCCAAAATGAAGAACTGTATTAGAGGGCCACAGCATTAGGAAGGTCGAGAACCACTGTTGTAAACACTTTTATTTGCATATCAGCTTGAGCCCTTTCTTTAAGTGCAAAAGGGGCCATCCATAAAAGTTAGTTGTAGACAGAAAACATAGGACAGAATAATCCCTCCTCTGCCCACTCTCCTTTGCCAGGCTGGGCACACTTAAGATCCATAGCGAGAAGTTACAGCACCGTCCAGGCAAGCAGGCTCCATGGGCTTCTTTCCTTACATTCTTTGAGATGCTATATTCAGTATATTTAAAAAAAAAAAATCAATGTATTAAAAAAGTCAAGTGTGTCTACAGCTATGTCCTCCTAAAAACGAATAATCTCATCAGATAAAAACAAGATCATAAAGAGGGCCACAGGAAGGCAGGTTTGGTGGTGGTGGTGTGTGCCTTTGGTTCTAGCAAAGGCAGGCGGATCTCTCTGAGTTCGAGGTCAGCCTAAGACACATAGTGAGTTCCAGGTCAGCCACCCTGTCTCAAACAAAACAAAAACAAAAGGAGGGTCACTGGAGCCAGGTGTAGTGGAACGCACCTGCAATCCCAGGGCACAGGATACTCAGGCAGGGACTGCTGTGGGTTTGAGACCAGTTATGTACAGAGTGCCAGACCAGCAGGGCTGCATAGCAAGACTGTCTCAAAAAGGAGGAGGAGGAGGAGGAGGAGGAGGAGGAGGAGGAGGGAGGGAGAGAGAAGGAAAGTAGTGCTGGTAAAGGCATGGGAGGTGCTGCCTGCCTCAGCAGCCTCCATTTTCAAACATGGAGGTAGAAGGAGCCTACAAAGGCGGGAGGCACCCTAGCAGCCAGCACAGGGCAGGCAGGGTGCGGGGGCCCTGGACTCCTCTCACAGCTGTTCCTCTTCCTGTCTCCGTTCCACTTCTGTTCTAGCCTCAGCCCTCAGCACCCTGAGGCTCCTAGCCTCACCTACCCTGGGGACTCTCTTGGGCAGGGTTGGCAACCGGGGAGTGTGCAAGAAGGCCCTCCTGCGCTTGTGAAACCATGAGAACCGTCCTGGGGTCTGGAACCTCACTGTCTTTACCTGTTTCCGGGCCCTAGATCCTGGGGATGTCCCTAGGGTAACAGAGCTAGCTGAGGCTTGCGCTAGAGCCTGAGGTCCAGCCTCCTCCCTCTGGTCATGGAGGACTCCTGCCCTCTGGTCAGCTGGGGCCTCCACTCTCTCACTTTCTGCAGCTCCAGTCTCTTGGTTAACTGGGCCCTCTGCCCTCTGCCTACCTATGACTTCTGTTTTCAGATCAGCTGCAGCCTCTGCCCTCATATTAGCTGCCGCCTCTACCCTCGGATTAGCTACAGTCTCTACCTTCGGGTTAGATGCAGCCTCTGCCCTCGGATTAACTTCAGCCTCTGTCCTCGGATTATCTGCAGCCTCTACTTTCGGGTTAGCTGCAGCCTCTACCTTCGGGTTAGCTGCAGCCTCTGCCCTCGGATTACCTGTAGCCTCTACCTTTGAGTTAGCTGCAGCCTCTGTCCTTGGATTAGCTGCAGCCTCTGCCTTCTCTTCAGGTGCAGCCTCTGGTATCGGGTTAGCTGCAGCCTCTGCCCTCTCTTCAGGTGCAGCCTCTGGTCTCGGGTTAGCTGCAGCCTCTGCCCTCTCTCCAGGCGCAGCCTCTGGTCTCGGGTTAGGTGCAGCCTCTGGTCTCGGGTTAGGTGCAGCCTCTGGTCTCGGGTTAGGTGCAGCCTCTGGTCTCGGGTTAGGTGCAGCCTCTACTCCACGTTCAGCTGGAACATCTACCCTCTGGTTCTCTTCAGCCTCTGGGGGCTCCTGCTCCTTCCTGCACCGCCTCAAGGAGACCCACTTGATCTTGGGCTTCCAGCGCCTGGTACCCGGTGTCTGGTCGCTCCCGTCTCCTGTGTTTCTTCTGGAGCTATCGTCCCGACTGGTATGGCTACGTCTCAATTCTCCAGCCCTCTCAGCTGCGATGGAGGCCTGCTGAGCCTCGACCACGTCCGATCCTGATCTGGGTGCCCAGCCCTTCACCCTCTGTTTCAGCTTCCCCCAGGACACCTGGCTGACATACTCCCGCCATCTGTCGGCTTTGGACGGGCGGGGTCCCAGGTTGTCCTCAAACATGGGCACTGGCAGATTGCCTCGGCGACGTGGAGGAGGCGCGCTGGGCTTCTTCTCCCCCCGGCGGAGGAAGGCTTCTACCAACTCCTGATCATCCTCACTCTCCACATCACTGCCCAGGAATTTGCTGCCCAAGTAACTGACGGGTATTTTGCGCACCTTTCTGGTCCTCTGGGACCCCCTATTGCCTTTGACTTTGGAGGTCTCGAAGTCACTCAACTCGCTGTCGCTGGCGTTACTGCTGTCATAGGTGCCTACGACTAGCCGAAGTGGAGGAGTGACCATCTGTGGGACTCTCCTCACTCGGGGTTCTTTGGCTTTTTTGGGGGGCTGGGGTGGGTGTGGCGTACTCTTTTCGATTATTCGAGCCACGTCTTCCAGGGTGCGGCCCTCCTCCTGCAGAAACTGAATCAGGCGCTCCCGAAATTCAGCTTCCTTGGTGGCGGGCTTGGAGATGACTCTCCACACGCCCCCAGCCAGCCGGACCTCTCGGGGGATGAGCAGATAGTCAACATCCTCCCCAATCTGCAGCATTCCCACCGTGGAGTCCTCCTCTTTCCGGAACACCTTGCCGATCTTCTTAAAGGTGCCCACGGGCCTTAAGGCCTCCACTAACACGTCCAGATCGACATCTTTGCAGACATCAGGGACGCTCCAGAGGATCAGGCAATCGGGAGAGGGGAGGAAGCCCCAGGGGAACCAGCCCCCCACGTGGCTTTTCTCGAGAGTCTTTAAGATCTCCAGAGTGGATTCTGGGGTGGGGGCACGAAGCCCAAACAAAAAACTTAGATTCTAGTCTTAGGGAGGGGGCAGGGGAGAGTCCTAGCAACTCTGCTCATGCAGAGTGTCACCTCCCTGCAATTTTCTTCGCAGGAGACAAGTCCAAGTTGGGTTTTCCCTCACCCCCTCTGAGTTGTAGTGAGCGATTTTCCAGGATGCTTACGTGAACTGAGGCGCGGTCAGTCCCGAGGCTAAAAGCTGGGTTCAAACGGGAGACGCCAGTGTCCCGGCTCCAAGCTGGGGACGCACGGGCTCCGATCGCTTCTCCCTAGGCCCCGACACTCCGGGTGTAGCTGAAAGTTTGTGGGAGGACTCTACAGACAAAGGCGTCTCAGCGTGGCTGCTCAATATGGCGAGGCAGTTAAAGGCCTCCGCCCAGCCCCGAGGAGGGTCTCCCGCCCCCAGGCAGGCTGCCGCCCCGCTCCAGGCTGACCTTGTTTTGCAGTCTGCGGAGCGCTGTGGAGCAGAGAGTCGCAGGAAGTTTCTGGGCGCCCTCCCCTCCTGGGTGAGGCCCACCTTCTCCATCTCATTTTACATTCTCAGACTGAAAAGACTGGCAGCTGAGCTGTCCACTCCCTTCAGGTCAGCCTCCCTCTCCTCCTCCACAGAGGTGTGGCCGCCCCTCCACCCCCGAGGGCCTCGTTGAGGCCAGGGAGGGCGTCCCTCCTCAGCTGCTGAAAGTCACTGGGTCTCCAACCTTCTATTCTAGAGGCAAGACAAGACTACGCTTGCGCCGCTTATGGCCGAGATCATTTGAAGGCCATTGCTGTTACCTGGATGAGACCAGGAAGATTGCTCAATGGTTAAGAGCATGAGCTGCTCTTGCAGAGGACCTGGGTTGTGTTCCAGGACCCACATGATGGCTCTCAACCCTCTGTAACTCCAGGCCCAGGGGATCCAACACCCTCTTCTGATCTCTGTGGGTACTGCACACACATGGTGCATACACACCCACCCCCCCCCCCCCCCCCCCCACACAAAAAGACAAGACATTCGTGCACATAAAAAAAAAAATGGACCCACTGGCTGGAGAGATGGCTCAGTGGTTAAAAGCATTGCCTGCTCTTCCAAAGGTCCTGAGTTCAATTCCCAGCAACCACATGGTGGCTCACAACCATCTGTAATGAGGTCTGGTGCCCTCTTCTCCTCTTCTGGCCTGCAGACATACACACAGACAGAATATTGTATAAATAATAAATAAATATTTTTAAAAAATGGACCCACAAGATAATTCAATGGGTAAAAACATGTGCCATGCAAGTGTGACAACCTGAATTCAGTCCCCAGAACCCACATAAAACCAACTCTACAAAGCTGTTTGTTCTCCACAGTGCACCCCCACACAGAGATTATACATATGCAAATACAGACACAATGATAAATTTTTTAATTAAAATGTGTTGTTTCTCTGTAGCTTTGGAGTCTGTCCTGAAACTCATTCTGTAGACAGGCTGGCCTAGAACTCACAGAGATCCACCTGACTATGCCTTCTGAGTGCTGGAATTAAAGGTGTGCACCAACACCACCCGGCTAATATTTTTCTTAGAAACAAAAATATATCTTTAAGATCACAGAGATGTTGTGGTATTTTTAGTTCTTAACTTACTATGTATCCCACATGACCTCAAACTTTCAGCAATCTTCTGAGTACTAGCCTTAAGGGCATGGGCCACCATACCAGGATTAAAGATAATATTTTCAACAGCAACAAAAGCCAAGTAAAGAAGTGACATCAGGATTTGAAGAGATGGCTCAATGGTTAAGAGCACTGACTGCTCTTCCAGAGGACACGGGTTCAATTCCTAGCACCCACGTGGCAGCTCATGACTGTCTGTAATTCCAGTTCCCAGGGAATCGACACCCTCACACAGACACACATGCAGGAAAAACACCAATGAACAAAAAATAAAAAATAAATCACATTTTTAAAAAAGTGATTTTAATACCAATATAAAAACATCTACCAGACATGAGTTTTTTTTTAAAAAGTGACTTTAACATGGGGTGTACTCTTGTGATCCCAGTACTTGGAGGCAAGAGGATCAAGAAGGTAAGGTCATTCTGAGCTACAAAGAGAGTTACAAGAAACCCTGTCTCAAAAAAAAAAAAAAAAAACAAAACCACCCCAGGGGCTGGAGAGATAATTCAGTGATTAAGAACAATTGCTATTCTTGCAAAGGATCTGATTTGGTTCTCGGCACCCACATGGTGACTCACAGTCACCCAAAACTCCAGTTGCAGGGAATCAGATACCTAAAACCCCCCCAAGAACCCAACAAGCACAAGCAAAGACTCATGCAAAACACGCATGCACAGAAAAAAAAAATAAATCTTTAAAAATTAAAGTAAAATAAATGCTTGTGGTTGTATTTAACTCAGGAAGACCTTGGAGGCAGATCATCAGCAATGAGAGAAGGGGGAAGGGAGAGAAAGGAAAGTGCCAGAGAGGCTGTTACAGGCTGCGGGGAAGAGCTGAGGTTGGGAGTCCTCTTCCTTTGAGTCCTGTTACTGCCTGCAGCTTCCCCTCACAACCATCTGTAACTCGGGTTCCGGGGATCCAATGCCTTCTTCTGACCTCCAAGGGTTACCAGACACACACGTGGCACTCATATATACACACAGGCAAAGCACAGACTTAAAATAAATAAATGTAATTTTTTTGTCTGTTTTTCAAGACAGAATTTCTCTGTGTAGCCCTGGCTATTCTGAAACCAAGATCCACCTGACTCTGTCTCTGAAGTGCAGGGATAATCTAATTTAAAAACCTTCTTAAACTGGGCAGTGATGTTAAGTTGGGAGTGTAGACCCCAGCTGCTTGTAT